TTGGAGGGGAACCAAAGTAGCATGAGCCAAGAGTACTCTGGAGACCAGTCAGCCCCTGAGAAACATTTACAGAGAAATTTAGAACATTCGAGAAAAATTTAGAGAATCTTCATAGTTTCTCTGCTTACAAACGTCACATATGTTCACTATAAAAGTGCCAGAAAAACACAATACAGGAAGTGAAACTCAGTCCACTGTGTGTGTGTGTGTGTGTGTGTGTGCGTTTTCTTTTTTTTCTTAATCATGACTTTATTGAGCTCTATTTACTTCATGTATTCAACATCATACAATTCACCCATTTAAAGTGTACGATTTATTGGCTTTAGGTATATTCAGTTGTTCAGCCCTCACCAGGGTCGATCTGAGAGCATTTTCAACACATCAAAAAAGAAGCCTCGTGTTGTACAGTGTGAATGTACTTAGGCCACTGAACTGTGTTCTTAAAAATTATTAAAATGCTGAATTGTATGTTTTTTATAGTGTGTGTGTGCACAGTCACTCAGTCGTTTCCAACTCTGTGATCCTGTGGACTGCAGCCCGCAAGGCTCCTCTGTCCTTGGAATTTTCCAGGCAGGGATACTGGACTGGGTTGCCATTTCCTTCTCCAGGGGATCTTCCCCACCCAGAGATCAAACCTGCATCTCTTATGTCTCCTGTGTTGGCAGGCGGATTCTTTGCCACTGCTCCATCTGGGAAGCCATATCATGATAGAATACCCTTTTTGCCAAGCATGCTCTACAGAGAAGTTTAAGATACAGTCCTTGCCTTCAAGGCAAAAGACAAATGAGGAGGATTAGCAAGGAAGGGCGAAGCTGGAGCCTCCTTGCCTGGGGACAGAGCAGTAGCAAAGGCCCGGAGGCCAGCAATCGCAAGTCGAGGTGTGGCAGGGTTGATTCTTCTTGGAGACCAGGGAGAATCTGTTCAGACCTCTCTCCTGGCTTCTGGTGACAGCCAGCAACCCTTGGCTTGTGGCTGCATCCCTCCAATCTCTGCCTCCGTTACACATCTGTGACCCAGGTCTTTACATGTTTTCTTACAAGGACACCCATCATTGGATTTAGAGCCCACCCCGATCCGGTCTGACCTCATGTGAACTTGATTCCATCTGCCAAGACCCTGTTTCCAAATAAAGTCGCACTCATAGGTGCAAGGGGTTAGGATCACCGTGTGTCTTTCTGGGAGACACAGTTCAACCCACAATAGACAGGTAACTTTATTAACTCTGTTATGCAGCTGAAGGGGCTTTCCAGGTGATGCTAGTGGTAAAGAACATGCCTGTCAATGAAGGAGACATAAGAGGTGCAGGTTTGATCCCTGAGTTCAGGTGATCCCCTGGAGAAGGAACTGGCAACCCACTCAAGTATTTTTGCCTGGGAAATCCCGTGGACAGAGGAGCCTGGAGGGCTACAGTCCATGAGGCCACAAAGAGTCAGACACCAGTGAAGCGACTGAGCATGCAGGCACGCATACAGCTGAAGAAACTGAGGCTCAGGGAGGGTAAGCAATCGTGATGGAGACACGTTTACACTCAGGCCATTTGGTCGGGGCACTACACACACCCTCCAGCCACTGCCGGACACTGCCGGACACTTGAGCGCCACCCCCACCCTCTGGAACAAAGGTCTGCGTTCACCTCTGCTCCAGAACAGCGTGAGGCTGCCTGGCGGGGCTCCCTCACGTGCCAGCTGTCCCTTTGGGCCCCTGGAGGGAGGGCATGAGCCACGTGGTGGGAGGCCTGAGACTCCGGCCAAGGCACCACATCCCCCCTCACCCCGCCGAGGCCTCTGCTCCTCTGGGGTCCCCCTGCCAGACAGACTCTTATATTTTGAACTTTTTATTTCTTTATTTTTATTCGTTTTTGGCTGCGATGAGTCTTCATTTCTGCACATGGGCTTTCTCTAGTTGTGGCGAGTGGGGGCCACTGTCTAGTTGTGGGGCACAGGCTTCTCATTGCGTAGCTTTTCTTGTTGCAGAGCTCTGGCCCTAGAGAACGTGGGCTTCAGTAGTTGTGGTGCATGGACTTAGCTGCTCCATGGGATGTTCCTGGACCAGAGATTCAACCCATATCCCCTGCATTGGCAGGTGGATTCTTAACCACTAGACGAGCAGGGAAGCCTCAGTCAGACTTTTAGCAGACATTTATTATCTCCCAAACTGCATGTCGGCTTCCTTGGTGGCTCAGACGGTAAAGCATCTGCCTGCAGTGCGGGAGACCTGGGTTCAATCCCTGCGTCGGGAAGATTCCCTGGAGAAGGAAATGGCAACCCACTCCCGTACCTTTGGCTGGAAAATCCCATGGATGGAGGAGCCTAGTAGGCTACAGTCCATGGGGTTGCAAAGAGTCGGACACACGACCAAGCAACTTCGCTCACCTTTTAAACTGCATGCCACACAATGTGCTCAGTCCTGAGGAGGGCTCGAGGGTGGGCAGAGCCCTGGCCCCGGCAGGCAGGAGCTCCCCCGGGTGCGGCCTTGCTGCGCTGTTCCCACGGGCAGGACGGGGAAGTATGAACTGGGGTCTGGGGGTGGGACAGAAGAGGCTGGTTACAAAGGAACGAACATGACCTTGATCTTCACTTGTGCTTGGACCAATCTCCTGTTTTCACAATATCTAGAACTGTGTATGGCCCCAGCTACAAAAATGGATGAGCCCTGGTCCTTGCTCCTGAGGAGGGGACCAGAGTGGGGGTAAACTAAGTCTAAAGGAACTGAGGCCTTTCCAGAAAGTGCCAGGGGCACAGGAGAGGAAGGGACCGCCTGTCTTAAAGGTTTCATCTGTGTCTGCAAAGGTCAGACCGTGTCTCAGTGGTGAAGGAAAACTGCTCATTGTTGAGCAGGCCCGGTATAAAGAGGCTAGGCTTTTTGCATGCATCACCACTAATCCCTCTTGAAGGATCCATGAGAAAGGTCTTGACTCCAGTTTACAGATGGAACATCCTCTCCACCTCTCCCAGCTACCAGAGATCTTTTGACCCCAGCCTATAAATGGCAACCCACTCCGCTACTCTTGCCTGGAAAATTCCTCGGACAGAGGAGCCTGGTGGGCTACAGTCCATGGGGTCGCAGAGTCCAACACTGAGCGACTTCACTTTCACTTTCCCTTGGCCTGTTGGTGCAGCTAAGGTCGGTGATGCACTTATGTGCCACCAGGTGGCATTGTGGACCGCCTCAGTCCATTAACTAACAGTGGGTGGTAATTATATGCACTGATGTTTCTCAGACTTGTTTTTTATGGACGTCTTCTCAGTACCTCCAAGAACTATAACCTACTCAATGTTTTGATTTAAACTCCCTTGTAAAATTTTTATATCTATCCTAATGAGAAACCGTGATCTCTTTGCCATAAATAAATGATGAATGTAATTCCCTGGTGGCTCAAGCAGTGAAGAACCTGCCTGCAATGCAAACCCAGGGAGATCTGGGTTCGATCCCTGAGTCACGAAGATCACATGGAGGAGGGCATGGCAACCCACTCCAGTATTCTTGCCTGGAGAATCCCCAGGGACAGAGGAGCCTGGCGGGCCACAGTCCATGGGGTTGCAAAGAGTCGGGCAGGACTGAGTGACTAAGCACAATCTTTTAGAAAAATCATGTTAACTGTTTAGAACACTGCAGTAGCATATAGAAAGAAGGAAAGTATTAAAACTATTAGAACAAAACATGTTAGTTTACATATCCCTATACCCATCTCGTAGATCACCAGTGCAACGGAATGCTGACCTAAGCTTTGGAAGCAGGCTGCGGTCACCTAGATGCATGAGTGCTTAGGGTTGGAGGGGCTCTTCCCTTTGCAGGTAGAGGAACTGGGGCATTGAGAGGGGAAGGGACAAACCCAGAGTCACACTGTCCACTCCAGGGTTGGAGCCAGGCCTGGGACCCAGCTCCGGCCTTATATCTCCACCCCACGGATGCTCAGAAGAACCTCAGGAAGTTGGAAATGAAGTGTGAGGCACACATGTTTCTTGGCCCTCTGAGGTCCGAGAAAGTTCACTGTGGGTTCCACATGCAGAGAGCATCACTTGTTGGGAGCATGGAGCCCTGGGATGAGAGTCAGGTGGCGTGGGGGCAGGCAGCTGCCAAGACCCCTGGTGAGCAGCGCAGCGTCTCTGGGCCCCTGACCCTGGTGCTCTGCTGCAGGGCATGATGTGGTACCACGCTCTCCTCTGGGCAGTCCACCCCAGCTTTGGGCCCTGACTGCCACATCCTGGCACCCTCCCCCTCCAGGGAGCCACATCCACCGAGGATGGGCTCTCTCTCCCTTGATCCCTCTTGCTTGTCAGAGCTGGAAAATATGGGCATCACCCTCCCTCTTGGGTTGCTTGTGCAGCCAAATCAAGTGAGGTTCTGACAGGCCCAGGGGTTCTTGGGCGAAAGGCCAGTGACCACACTGGACCAAGGAATCTCCTGGAAGCTAAAAGCATAACAGGGACAAACCATCCTCTGCTGGCCCCCACAGTCCTCAGAATTGTCAAGTGGAGATGACCCTGAGTATTTAATTCGGGACATTTTCAAGTTCTGCTTTTACAGTCTAGAGTCTTCGGTGTTATTTCGCTCAAAATGGTGCATGTGTTATTAGTTCACACCAGTTGCTGTAATAAAGAGGCCCCTGAAATCTTGGGCTTCCCTGGTGGATCAGGTGGTAAGGAATCCGCCTGCAGTGTGGGAGACCTGGGTCCGATCCCTGGGTTGGGAAGATCCCCTGGAGAAGGGAAAGGCTGCCCACTCCAGTATTCTGGCCTGGAGAACTCCATGGACTGTACAGTCCATGGGGTCGCAAAGAGTCGGACACAACTGAGCGATTTTCACTAAAATCTCAGCACCACAGAAGTTCACTTCTCTCCTCCCTACAGTCCAATGGGCTGCTGATGTGTTTGTGACTGCAGCAGGCCAGGCCCTGCAGCAGGTGCCGGAACCCACAAGTGAACACAGGGCAGACCCGCGCTGACACCCCCTCTCCTCTGACAGGGACACTCATACAAGCCTCTGTCCTCTCTCCCCAGTACTGTACCTGGAAGGCTCCGTTCTTGTGTTTGAGGACATCTTCAGACTGATCGCATTCTACTGTGTCAGTAGGTGAGTGTTCCTGGCCCCACAGGAGGGCATCTCACTGGCAACAGATGTTCATGCATCCTGGGTGGGGGCGGGGGAGTCACAGGGGAGCCCCCGAGGGAAGGGTGCAGCCCACAGGATGCAGAGAGAGGGGGCAGTCCCCTGGCTTCGCCCTGGTACCCATGAAAAGGAGAGGGGTGCCTGCTCTCCTGCTTTCTTTCTTTAAAGGTCCCTCCCTCACCTCCACCTGCCCCCTTGGCTTACTGCCCATTACCTTCCTGTCTTCTGGCTTTTGGGACAGCTTGGGGCCGGTCCTGTGAGGAACCTGACCCACCTCCTTGGAGGAGTTCTAGAAGGAACTTCCTGTAGGGGCAACAGGAAGGGTTGATCCTCTTAGTAGGAGACAGCGTGTGATTTTTTAAGCAGCTGCTGGGTGGAGTGGGTGTCTGTAACCACCCTGAGAGCTGCTCTGTTCATTCAGAACTGGTTGCAGGTCAACAGGAATTTAAAAATACATTTTGGTGCCAAGAAGCCAACGGCTTAAGTTACAGGGATTTGACCAGGGCTGGGCAGGATGTCTTGGGGCCCAGGGCCCCAGGCTCCCCCCTCCCTGCTACAAAGAGACCATTCATGCTGCCTGCACTCAACCCAGGACAGCCCTCCCACCTACCAGGACCCTGCTGGGCCCAGTGGACAGAATCCTGATGCTGATAGTAAGGTGCTAACAGCTCCTGCCTGTAGGGGGCTCTCCAGGTACACAATGAGGTGCTAGGGTTTCATATCCATTATTTTCTTAAATCTTGCTGAAAGTTCCGCCCCGTAAAGTGCTCTTTTAGTCCCCCACCTCCCCGGGTTTTTTTGGCTGCTCTACGCAGGGCATGGGATCTTTGATCCCCAACCGGGGATCCAACCTGCGCCCCCTGCTGTGGAAGTGTGGAGTCTTAACCACTGGGGTGCTCTTGTTAGTCCCATGTTACAGATGAGGAAGCTGAGACTAGAGAAGTGAGTTGTTCAGGGTCATGCACCTGGTAAATGGCAGGGTGGAGGTTCAAAGCAGAGCGCCAAGGTCCGTGGTGTTTGTACAGCCGTCCCACTGTGTTCATTCTACAGTGATTCTGATGACCTAGCATGTCCTTCTAGGCCCACAAAGCATCAGGGCTCCCTGGCCCTTTGTACGTTGTGACAGATCAGGTTCTCAGAATCAGGCCCTTTCCTGTTCTGAGAAGTTCTACCTTAGTGGAAGATGGTAGCCTAGAGTTTGGCCCAGGATAGATGCTTCCAGTGAGTGAATGAATGAATGGTGACATAGTTGCAGAGCTCAGAATTTGAGCTAATCTTTCTCTCTCAACTTTCTCTTCTGTAAAATGAGAACACCACCCATGCTGTAGATGCTGGAGAAAGAAATAAGATAAAGGAACAGCACACTGCCCGACACCCAGGAGGTGCTCTGGTTCTGATTCCGTGGGCTGGGCCACGGGAGGGTGTGCTCAGGTGGTGACGTCATCTGTGTGAAGCGAGTCCCAGAGCCGTGGTCACCAAACACCGCTGTCATCTCCCACCTGCTCCTCCTCTGGCTGCTGTTTCTCCACGTTCCAGAAAAGCAGGTGCTGTTCACCTGCCCTCAGACACTCAGGGAACCCACTGGGAGGTCACAAGGCTCAGAGCCTGGAACTCCTGTGTGTGAGGGGAGGGGGCATCAGCTCCAAGGCCACCTCTCGGGACTGAAATGCCGCCAAGGAAGGGCCCTTGGCTGGGAGTGGAGAGCCTGTTCCTGGCTGTGTGACCTTGGGCAAGTCCCCTGACTTTGGCCGGCCCCAGTCACCTCACCTGTCAAGGGAGCCAAGACGGAACCCCAGAGCGCTAGAGCTGTGTTCCTTTGTGTGGTCTGAATGAGCAGCCATCTTCAGAATCAAGTGGCCCGGAGGTCACGGGAGGTGAACCAGAGATGCACGTTTCAGGTGCCTTTGTCGCCGGCAGGGCCTTGCACAGAGGGGCGTTTTGAGATCTGCTAAACACCCAGGTGATATAGGCCAGTCCTGGCTTCAGACAGAGCCTGCTCCCCCGTGGGCCCTCGGGGCCCCTGTGGCCTCAGCGCCTGTCCATTGAGCACAGTCCCTGCAAGAGCGTGGACCAGCCCTGATTCGGTCACACAGGATCACGAGGGTGGGAGGGCGTAGACTCGGCTTCACGGTACCTGCCCCAGACCTCACTGGAACCCTGATGCTCTGGGCTGGATGGTGGATGGTGTGAGAGTTCTAGAGAGTCTGAGTCCCATAGTCACCCAGGGAGCTGGTTAACACTTCCAGGGCCCACTCTAGGGATTCTGAGTAGCAGGCCTGGAGTGGGGCACAGGAATCTGCATTTATAACAACACACAAAATCTGCATTTATAACAACACACACAATCTGTATTTATAACACACACATACAATCCGTATTTATAACACACACACAATCCATATTTATAACACACACACACAATCCGTATTTATAACACACACACAATCCATATTTATAACACACACACACTCTGCATTTATAACACACACACTCTGCATTTATAACACACACACTTTGCATTTATAACACACACACATACAATCTGCATTTATAACACACACAGTCCACATTTATAACACACACAATCCGCATTTATAACACACACACATACAATCTGCATTTATAACAAGCCTGTCTGCAAACCAAGGTTTGGGAACTGCTCCTAAGAAAAGGATACTAACAGCTTAGCCGAGGGCTTCCCGGGGGCATACTCGGAAAGGAGAATCCATGTGCAGGGGACACTCGAGGGCCTCACCCGAAGGAGGAAGCAGCAGGGGAGTGGGGTGCAGGACGGGGACAGGAGAGAAGCCCCGCCAGGGTCCAGTGCCGGGGTGCCTGGCCTCAGTGGATCCCTCTTTCCGGCAGCTCCAGAGCACAGAGCAGACCTTGGGGTCCACCGTAAGCCATGGGGCTGGACTTCTGTGCCCCCAAGCCACAGGCACTCAGGCACGTGTGGCTCTCTGTAGGGCCACTGGGGCAGGTGCTGAGGCTCCAGTATGCCAGGACAAGCCTCTGGGGGTCGTGGGTGCCGGCCCTCAGGAGCAAACCCCGCAGAGGCTGGACGATGGGTGCAGAGCTGGTAAAAAACACTGAAGTGTCTGGAGGGGGCGGCAGCAGTGACTGCTCCAGTCAGCTCCGTGGACCAGGCGTTTGCTGAGTCGGGCTCACACTGTGTGCTGCCCACAGAGCTCTTTCTAACCTGAATGGTGCTGCAGGGTGGGGCAGGGGGTGTTATCACTGCAGACCCACTTCATGAGGCTCATGACCCCCGAGGATCAGACCTTTGTAAGGAGCTTAGCAGAGCCCCTGGTCTGGAATGAATCCTCCAGGAGGCATCAAGCGTGTTCTTCTTGCTGGTATAAATGAAGATGCTGCAGCTGGAGTTGACCTGCCTCAGGTCACCCAGCTCGGTTCTGAGCCAGGTCTGAACCCCAGGTTGTCTGATTCCCGAGGCCAGATGCCTCTGCCCGGCATACAGGGCCAGGCCCGTGGTCCAGAGGACGCGGGTCTGCTTTCCCTCCAGCAGCAGCTTCTCCCCTTCCATGTGCGGGGAGTCTAGGCCCTCTCGGTGGGAAGGGTGACACTGGAGGCCAGGCAAAGAAGGGCAGGAAGAGAGTTCAGGTAGAGGACACAGCATGGTCAGAGGCCTGGCAGCGGGTCAGCTGCAGGTTGCTTGGCAACGGCCTCCTGGGGAGAGCTGGACATGTGGGTGGGGGATAAGGTGCCTGGAAGGCCTGGAACCCCGAGCCCAGGAGCTGCATGCAGGGCTTCCTTCCCTGGTGCTGGGCATCGCTACAGCTCACAGATGGATTGCGTTTGAGCAGAACCACGTGGCTGCAGATGCTGGGGCTGTTGACGCAAGGGGAGTGTAGACACCAGCTGGGCTCTAAAGCCACCCAGGCCCCAGGCAGGGGCTGGGGGCGGTCATTGCAGGGAGGAGTGGGGAGGCAGGGGGAGCCTAGGGAACCGTCGGGGCTCTTATCGTGGGCACAGGAGTATGAGCAGGCGTGATGGTTCCCACTAGGTGCCCCCTGCTGTGCTGCGTGGTTTCCATGGTAACCCCATAAGCGAGCATCACGTCCCCTGTCCGGCCAGGAGATGGAATGACACCCACCAGGAATGGCAGAGCTAGATTTTACCAGGCTCCTCCATCCCAGAACTCATGCTGATTTTTTCTTTCTCCGTCTCACTTAAATTCTTTTAATGGAAAGGAATTCATGCTTCTCCCTCTACTTTCCTTTTAAAAGTGGTTGACTTTCAAAACCACAGAAGTCACCCAGGATGGGTGAGGAGATGGAGCCATGAGGCATGGAGGGGGTGCAGACATGGTCTCATAGCCTTCCATTCTGGAAGCGCTCCCCAAGTTGCCCCAAAATTTATAGGACCTGGACAGGATGGGGGTGAGTGCCAAACCCTATGGGAAAGAGAAAGCTAGCCTGTGTGAGCTAATACGATATTAATAATATACATGGTGACTGGTACTTTTAATCCATGGCCCACAACCCACTAGGAGGTAACAGTAGGAGAAGAAAATATATTTGGCCTTAGTCTAGGTTCTGGACACAGAACTCTTAAATTCTTGGAATTTCCTGAGTTGACAGGGGTGTCTTATTACTCATAATGAGCCCCTTTCTGTCACACCTGCATTTATGCAAACCCATAAACAGGAGAGGCCCCTAGACAGCCTCAGGATGGGGCCGGTCACCAGGAAGACCAGTGATCAAGGCAAGGAACTTCCAGCCCCACCCACCCACCTCCTAGCTGATGGACACTTTGAGGTGCTGGGAGGTGCCGCGTCCAGAGAGGCGTGGAGGGGAGCCCCTTGCCCTGACCTTGCCTGTGTGCCTCTTCCATCTGGCTGTTCCTGGGCTGCATCCTTTACAATGAGTCAGGAAATGTAAGTGTTGTCCTGAGTCCTGTGAGCTGTTCCCAGCAAACTATCAAGGCTGAGGAAGGGGTCATGAGAACCCCTGACTTACAGCCTGTCGCTCAGAAGTACAGGTGACCTGGGACTGGGATCTGAAATGGTGGGACTTAGTCCTTAGCCTATATTAAGGACTAATTAAGTAGTTAATTAGTGCCAACTCCAGGCAGTTGGTGTCAGCATTAACTTGTAGGACATCCCTTTGTTGTCCGGAGAATTGGAGGATTGTTTTAGAAAACATCCCAGAGGGGATCATAAAGGCCCTCTCTGACCTGTTTGCCCATCTGTACAATAAAGGTGGGAGGCTGTATAGGCCTCTTCTCGGGGGGGTCTCTGGAGCGATCCCTGAATGGGCTGCCATTCAGACCAAAGGCAGCAGATTGAGCTGGCGGACTGTGTTGTCGGGAGTTCCTGTGTGCAAGCTCGCCGGAGGGTGTGCACGAGTGGTTTCGGGGGGAAGCGGAAGGTAGGGTCTGACTGTGCGTCTGCTGCACACCTTAGTGTGGAATGGCAAGTCTCGGAGGGCCAGAGGGGGTGGGTCCCTTGCCTTCCCCAGAATAGCTCCTTTAGAGGAAGCTGCGTGGGCTTCCCTTCCATGCACCACCCCTCACCATGCCCAGGACGGTCTCAGCATCTCTGAGTCCAGTGGAGACACAGGACCGGGATCTGACCGGTTGCTCCCTCAGCCTCCTGACTCCACCCTTCGGCCCCAGGGAAGTTTCCAGTCTGTGTGGCGATTCCAGCAGCCGGCAGGGTTGCGGGGTTCCTCCTCTCCGGGCTGTGGATTGGGAGGTGGCGGGGCTGAGATTGGACACACGGAGCCCTCCCCAGACTTGACCTCCGATCCCTCGTGTCTCCGCAGAGATTTATTGCCCTTCACGCTGAGGCTGCCCCGGGCCATCCTCGAGGCCAACAGCTCCACAGACCTCGAGATCATCTCCAACCTAGGCCTGGGTAAGTCCCCTCCGGGGTCAGAGCAGGAGACCGGGCTGTTAGGACCAGGGTTCCCGGGAGGTCTCTCAGGCTGAGCCCAAGCTGGATCCTGAGTACCAGCTCCCACGGGACCACCCGCTCCCCTGCCCCAGGTACCAAGCCCCCCCAGCAGGGAGACGTTCCCTCTTTTCAGAGTGGCCTGTCAGGGGGTCTCACGCACAGCCTTGCTGGGTCTGAGAGAGCAGCGGCTGGTCAGGGCCCACACAAGCTGACCTGGTGTCAGAGCGTGGCCTGTGAGAAGCCAAACCAAACACCAGGGTCCATCTCAGCATGACCGTGATCATTAACTGAAGTGTGCCCCCCACCCCTTGGCCTGCTCCCTACCCAACCACATGCTCAGCACACCCACCCTGCCCCTTACTTACCCTTCTGACATTTTGAGGGGTTTCAGGGTGGGGGGAGTAAAAGACAAGAGTGTTTCTGATCCCAGCCCTTCTACGTGATGGTGAGAAAAGCTCACACTTCTTGGGCCCTTTCCACGGCTTCACTGAGCCAACACCCACCTCTGACATGGCCTCACCACGGTGGCCCTTCTCCGGAAGCCCATGCTTCCCAAATCTGGGGCCACCAGGAAGCCAGGCCGGCCACCCCTGCAGGCCCCCATCCTAGGCAGAGGCCAGGTCACATTATGAACAAAGCAATTAATGGGCCCTTATCAAGACCAAGCCACACAGGGAATATAGTCAATATTTTATAACAACTTTAATGGAGTATTATTGTCTATAAAAATTTTGCATCACGATATTGTGCACCTGAAACTAATATAATATTGTAAATCAACTATATGTCAACTTTAAAAAAAAGAAAAGTTAGACTTCCCTGCTGTTCCGGTGGTTGAGAATCCACCAGCCAATGCAGATGACGCGGGTTCAATCCCTGGTCTGGGAAGATTCCATGTGCTGGGAGGCAGCTAAGTCCATGAAACCACAACTACTGAGCCCGTACTCCATAAGAGAAGCCACTGCAATGAGAAGCCCGCACACCGAAACTAGAGAAAACCCACACGTAGCAACAAAGACCCAGCACCGCCAAAAATAAATTAATTAAAAAAATTCTTTTAAGTCTCAACCATACCCAGGAACCTGCACTACACATGGCTGAGCCCACTGGTACGTTTTTACCAGTGCTGGTCAAGTGGAAGAAAGGTTGGTGGAGCAGGCAGGACCAAGGCATAGATGAAGCCAGAGGCAGACCTGGGATCAGAGGAGATTCCCCTTGGTTCTCAGGCCAATCACTGTCCACCCCCTGGGGGGCCTCTGGACAAGAGAGAAAGAGCTACCGCAAGGCAGCTCATGGTCAAAGGCCAGGAAGCAGGAGGAGCCCAGGCCCTCGGATTTCATGAGCGGTAACCGTGCTCTGACCTCTTCACCTGCACTGACTCATCAGATCCCCAGACAGCCCGGTACGGCAGGTTGTAATGTTGTGATGCCCACTTTATAGCAGAGAAAACAGCCACGAGGAGTTGAGTGACACGTCCAGTGTCACAGGATCCACGGAGGGCTGGGCTGTTAGGCTCCAGCCCCCACCCACTAGCTCCTGCTGCCCCGTCACTCGGTATCCAGGCTCTCCTAGGCCTGACTGACCCAGTTTATAAACTTCAGGGCTGGTTTGCAGTTGATGTTGGGAATAAACTCTAAGCTGGGGCCCCAGATGTTATAGTTGCTGGGCTCTTACTCTTCCAGAAGCTTGGGTGTGGGACAGGTGTGTGTGTGTGTATGCTCAGTCATGTCTATTTGTAACTCCATGGTCTGTAGCCCTCCAGGCTCCTCTGTCCATGGGATTTCCCAGGCAAGAATACTGAAGTGGGTTGCCATTTTCTTCTCCAGGGGATCTGCCCAGCCCAGGGATCGAACCCACATCTCCTGCATTGGCAGGTGGATGCTTTACTGCTGAGCCACGTGGGAAGTCCATGGGATGGGTGAGCGTCTGGTAACTCATACAGTCCCAGCGACACCCCTCCCGAGGGCTGAAATGGCCGAGGTGACACTCTCATTGCACTCTCTTGATGCTGTCTTGTGTAATCCTTGCATTCCCATTTTAAAGATAAAAATCAAGTCTTAGCACGGCCAGGAAACGTGTCCAGGATGCTCCAGGCGGCTAGGAGCACAGCTGGGAGAACACCGAGAGCTTTCTGACTCCCAGCACAGCGGCGCCGCTGCCCCTTGGCTGTACCTTACGAATGTCTCAGTTGTTTGTGCAACAAGTAGTTGCTGGCTGACTTTGAGGTCAAGTTCAAGGGCAAATGAGATGCATGCACTCCATCTGGGAGGCTTACCATTGAAAGGAGGGTCTGTTTGCAGCCTCACTGCAGGTGGGTTGAGGCAGGTGCCCCTGGGTTCCACTGCCCCAGGGACCCCCAGGTTTCTCTCACCTGCGGATGAGGTGTCCCTGAACCCTAGGAACGACTATGCTCCTCTAGGGAGAACCATATTCCTTTCTGGAATTGACAAGCCCTTCTATCTGGGCAAGCTTGACCTCTTGGGCAGGTTGAGGACGTGAGAGGGGTGGGGCCCTCTGAGAAGGAGGTGGCAGTTCAGGTTGTGTGTCCGCATCCGCTTCCTTGAGAAGTGGATTTAAATGAAACCCGAGGACACTGCAGCTTAGGAACCAGAGAGTTCTGATCAGACCTGGTGTCCCCAAGGGCTGAAGCATGGAAGTGAGGCTCATCAGAAGTTTTTCCTGGAGCTGAGGAAGGGTTAATTTTTCTGTTCATCCCCAGAAAGGATAGAGACCTGGAGCTGAAAGGGCACGTCCCATCAGAGACCAGAAGCCTTGGCTCTGAGATGTGCGGACCGCCCCGGCCTTCACCTGCAGTAGCAATGACAAAGAAGCAAAGATAAGGGCCGGATGCCCCAGGCACAGTGCCCAGCATTTCACACATTCTAGGGAAGGCACTCTGTGGCAAAGAAGTGAAACCAACTCAAAATAGCTTAGATAAAAGGGGATTTAGTGAAAGGAGGCCAGGGAATATCAGTGATAGGAGCAGAGGGTCCGCCCAGCTTTGCAGGCAGCAGACGCTCTTCTCTGCACACAGCTCAGCCTCCTTAACCCCTGGTTCCCACTCCCAACTCCTCCATCCGTGGGGCTCTGATGCCCGCCCCCGCATACCAATCTGCTGACCTTGTCGTTGGAATAAGTTTATGAGGGATTTGTGTTTTCTGTCACTAGTGTCAGCAATGTTTCTTTTTCTGGCACTCTACTCACTTTTTACAAAATGAATAGTGTCATAAATATCCAGATCATTGCACAAGCCTGCTGTTCAGACAGAGATGATGGTGCTGAAATGGGGTTATTGACCCACAAGCTCAGCACCATGTGATTGCCCAGAACATTTGCTCCTGAGCTGATGTAACAAAGTCTGAACTTGGCCTTGGAAAAGCCAGCCTTCAAAAGGGTTCTGTAGGTAGAAGCTTGAGACCACAGAGTTAACACAGGGAGCAGTTGACTAAACTGCATGCAGTTAATTCTTCTCAGTGCAAAAGGAATCTAGAGAAAGCACGTTAGACTTGCAGAGGTTCTTAGACATGTTTGCAGTGTGTATATGTTTAATATTTCTAAAATATGTTTAAAAAGAGAATATGTGCTATAACTCTTCCAAGTTGGCCTGTAACTTGCTTTTGCCTTTACGTTATACAATGAGATCTTTCCTAGTTGTCAAAAATTCATTGGAAAGTCTATTTTTGAATGACTGTCTTCACAGCCCACCTTTGGGATGTCACAGAAACATTCACCCACTGATCTCATCAGACTTTCTAGCAGTTTCCATGGCATCTGGAACACTTGGCTGCCTTATTCATGCCCTCTTTGTTCTGCTGGTAGCCTGGGGTTCCTCAAGTGTGAAATCTTTGTTGTGTTTGTCCTCCAGGTCTACAACCTAGCACCTGGCCTGGCCAAGGTCCTCTGAGGACTGTAGGCATGGGCACCCAGCAGGAGGCATCTCCAGTTGAGATACAGGAGGCCACAGGGCCGGCAGAACGTCAGCCACAGTCTGAGGGCAGCACACAGGCAGAGAGGGCACAGGCCCTTAGGGGAACTGCGGCCGTTGAGCGGAGGTTGGCCCGGTGCCGCTAGGCGCAGACGCCCACGGCCACACCAACCACTATGATTGCACGACAGTGTTCCGCTTCTCCCCTGGCCTTGGCATTCTGCAGAGAAAGTTACCTACTTCCTTTTTTCAAAAAAAAAAAAAAAAAGCATGAAGACCTGAGTTCCCTAATAGGCCCCCAGACCCCAGGGCGCTGCTCCTTGGGTCCCAGCTTCCCCCACCTCTCAGAGCGGCCTTGGCTTTGAGGCCTCTGCCCTGTGGGGTGTAAGCACCAGGCCTATCTTAGGGGCAGGGGAGCAGTTCCTAGTCACCCAGCCTCTGGACCTATTTCCCTGAACCCCGCTGTCTCTTCCACTCTTGTAGGAATGCAGATCTGAGTGGTGGAAAATGTGTTCTTTTTTTCTGTGTGATGCCCCCCACCCCTGCTGTCCTGAGGTGGATAGTCTGACGTAGTCCATCACTTACAGAGCTCTTTGCCCTCCTTTTTGCCTTTCACCTCTCATTTTCTCACTTCTTTACTTCTTGTCTTTAGACACCCTCCCAGGCCCAGGATGAAACCAGAGGACAGGCCTAGGGCTGGTCGGTCTCATCAGTGTGCACCAGGGCTGGGGAGCCAGGGGAATGTAGATGTGGCCTGAAAGTGTCAGGAAAGCTCCACCAAACATGACATTTGACCTGGGTCTTGAAGGTTGAGTAGGAGTTTGCCAGGTGGAGAGGGTGGGAAAAACATTCCAAGCAGAGGGAACATTAGCCAAAACCCAAAGGTGGGGCGATCCATGGCATGTTCAGTAAGGAGTGAGCAGCAGGGAGACTGGGGGGGGAGACTCAGTAGGTGGTGCTGGAAAGGTGTAGAGGGTCAGATCCCACAGGGGATAAATGCCAGGCTAAACGTTCAAAAGTGATTCTGAACAAATAGCAATCAAGGGTCTACGATATGCCCAGCATAGAGCCACAAGGAGCAGAATGGATTGGAGGCAGAGTGGGGACACGGAGGCAGGCTATGGCCGTGATCTGGGTGAGCAGTAATGGGAGTGTCCGGGCACAGGCGGGCAGTTCTGTTGATTGCCTGCCCTGTGACTTGCACTTTCTCCCAAAGGAAGGGTCTTTCGGGAACTTGGAGGTGAGCCTTGGGAGCCTCAGCTCACCTATGGGGCTGCTGCCCAGTCCCTTCATCAGTCTGGCTGCCTGCTTGCTCCTTGCTAGGAAGCCTTCCAAGAAGGCTGTGCAAAGTACCCAGGAGAATGGACAGGTCACGGAGGGGTCGGTAGCTGCCCAAGAAAGCAAAGCACAAGGCACAGACGGCCATGAGAAACAGCCCTCCCCCAGAGATGGTGGGAGAGCCTGAAGACACACCCTCCCATGCCGGGCCCCCCGCGTCCTCTGGGAGTGACTGGCAGGGGTGCACATTGGAAAGTCACATGAAAGTTTGTCATCTTTTTAAAAAAAAAAAAAAAAGAAAGTTTGTCATCTTTGATACAGTGGAGACAGCTGGCCGCAGCACTTCCAGACATGGGGTCTCTGCCCACGAAGGGGCTGTACCATGAGCCCCGCTCTGTTCTTCTGCAACGGCCCCACCCCAGAGGGATGCACACGGCACTCTCCCAGCTTCTCGGCAGCCCTGCTGTCCTGGAATTACACACTGCTCACCTTGATCGGGTTTCTGACCTCCTTGGTCAGCAAGCTGGTGAACACCCACACCCCTGAGCGTGCCCATCCCTTGGGATGAACACACACGCACCCACGGCTGCCCTCGGCCATCTTGCAATGTCTCCTTTATTCCAGTGTCAAGAACCTGTTGTGTTTGTACCCTGACCCTGGCTCTGGGGTGTATGCCACCCCACCCCTCACTCAGGCCAGGAGAGCAACAGGGATGGGAAGTGTCGCAAGTTCCTATGAAGGGCGGCCACGCATGTAACACATCGGCCAGCACCCAGCCTTCAGAACTAGTACGACCTAGTTCAAACCCCAGCTCCTTCATTCCCCAACCTGGTGACCTTTCGTCTCTCTGGGTCTCTTATCTTCATTTGTCACATGGGGACAACCTGAGGACTTACACACGAGGCCTGTGGTCAGAAACCCTGAGACAGTCCCTGTAGAGCAGGCAGCCCACACACCCAGGACCCAGCACTTGTTTGTTCCTGGTATTGTCTTTGATGCTATTTTTGGTAATTTACTTACTGATGACTCCTTCCCGGAAATAGACAGCCTTGGGTGAGAGACTGGAGACCTGGCCTCATTAACAAGGAATTGGCACTATCCATCTCTAAAATTAACAGCTTGGACAAGACCTGGGTTCCCTATTCCTCTCCAGTAGAAGGGACTGCTTGGATGAGTTCGCAGTGACCTGCCAGCCCTCTGACTTTGTTCTCAAAATGTGCCCCCGGGGCCCTTCTTGGAGCATCCTGAGCTTTCATCTGGTTCTCCAGAGGGCTTGGCACCGAAAGGTCAGGACCTCCTGTGATCTCATCAGCCCCCGACTTGGACATCCCGTGCCCCTTACCCAGAACAACCCTGGCTCTGACCATCAGTATCTGGAGAGGGAAAGGCCTGCTCTGGTGGCCTCAGCCATGGGCTAAGTCAAGAGAAAGGCGTGTGCTGGGCCTCAGCAGTGCGGGGGCTCAAGCTTTCCGAGCTGAGGGCAAGAGGGCATTTTCCTGCTTTAGTACTGAGATCAACCAGAGGCGGAATCATTTTGCAGCGGGCAGGCGATCCCCCTCTTGGATCGTCAGGTCTGAGCTCACTGGCCACCATCCATAGTTCATTCTTCCTGCTGTGACAACTGCAGTGGCCAAGAACCAGGCCCAAGTCCCTTCTCTGTCGGGACCCCATTCTAGATTGAGGCCTGGAAAGGTCTGGAGACTTGCCTCAGAGCCCCCGACTGGTCAGCAACGGGAACTCTGGGCTTCGTCCACTCCATGCCCACACGAGCCTGCACCCCAGATCATGGGTGCCCCTCTGGCGGCTCTCACATGCCAGGGGACAGGACCCAGGCGCGGAGCCTGTCACCGGCGCAGTCCTGGCCCCACCCCGGCACCGCAGGGGAGGACGGCATGGGGCTTCCCCCTCCCAAGGCAGGAAGTGGTGGGAGAGGTTTAAAACAGTCCAGGAGGGGAAAACAACCTTTGAGCTGGTGAAGCAAACACCTCACCACCGGGCCCTCCCTCGGCCCTGTCCCCACGCAGCCCGCAAACACCACCCAGTCCGGTCCACGCAGGGGCCCAGCTTCAGGGACTGACCGCCTCTCCCTCTCTTTTCTCGGACAGGCTTCTGGGACTCCTCACTGAACCCCCGGCGAGGAGGTGGGAGTCGATCGGAAGCCCCAAGAGACCCAGCCACCGGAGCGCCCCCCGCCTCCAGCCTCAAGTCCACCGCCCATCCCGAAAACTGCTCGTGTGAAATCGAGCTGTCCATAGGAAACGGCCGCCTGTGGTTTGTGAATCCAATTTTCATCGAGGACTGTGGCCGTGCCCCGCCGGCCGACCAGCCCCCCGCCGGAAGCTGCCCCTCGCGCCCGGCGCCCCCCACCTCTGACGCTACCTCACCCACCTCCCGGTGGGCCCCCCGCCGCCCGGCGCCCCCTCCCCCGCCGCTCCCCCTGCATCCCCCAGGCTTCAGCCGGCCTCCTCCCGCTGCTCCTCCGGCCCCGGCCAGCCCATTGCCCAGTTCTCCCCCGGTGGCGGCTCTCCCGCCTCCAGAGGCTCTTCCACCCTCACCCCCAGCATCTGCCCCCCACTTGGCACCCCATGCCCCAGGCCCCCCGGAGCTTCCAAGCCAGCCACCCATGACAGCCTGTGAGAGGCTCCCACGCCCCCTCACAGGCCTGGACCCTCTCAGGGAGGAAGAGATGAAGCCGGGGGCAGCCGCCAGCCCCTTGCAAGCCCCCGCCCCCCCAGTGCCCACGAAGAAGAGCCTCCCCACCGTTCCCCCCAGACGCCGCATCTCCGAGAAGGTCTCCCTGGAGGATCAGAGTGCAGGGAAGCCGGACAGGGGGGCAGCTGCAGAGGGGGGCCCGGGGGGTCCTTCCAGGGCATCACCACTCCGCCTGCCTCCCCAGCGGACCTCAGACAGCCTCGGGGACAGGCCTCCGAGAACCGCAGAGCCAGGCCAGGAAACATCAGCCCAAGCCAGCAACCCAGGCAGCGCGCCAGAGCCTCCGAGGAAGATCCGACAAGCCCCAGTCCCGCCTCCCAGGAAGAAACGGGTCTCCCGGCAGCTGGCCTCGGTCCTCCCAACTCCCCTGGAGACTGCCGAGCTCTCCGCAGCAGGGGAGGCCCCGGAGAAGCCCACGCCTGGTCCCCCCGGAGAGATCCAAGGTCCTGCCTCCCCCGCTGGGGGTAATCAGAGCCCTCGTGCCCGGGCAGGGGCCCGACCCCAGAGCGCTCCAGAGTTCAAGGGCTCCCTGGCCTCCCTCTCGGACAGCCTGGGTGTGCCCGCCTCGGCTGCTGACCAGGACTCGTACTCGACCAGCAGCACGGAGGAGGAGCTGGAGCAGTTCAGCAGCCCCGGCATGAAGAAGAAGCCGTCCATGATCCTGGGCAAGGCACGCCACCGCCTGAGCTTCGTAAGCTTCAGCAGTGTCTTCAATGCCTTCCTGTCCAACAACCGCAAGCTGTACAAGAAGGTGGTGGAGCTGGCCCAGGACAAGGGCTCCTACTTCGGCAACCTGGTTCAGGACTACAAAGTGTACAGCCTGGAGATGATGTCCCACCAGACCTCCAGCACCGAGATGCTGCAGGAGATCCGCACCATGATGACCCAGCTCAAGAGCTACCTGCTGCAGAGCACCGAGCTCAAGGCCTTGGTGGACCCCACCCTGCACTCCGAGGAGGAGCTAGGTCGGTCCGCGTCCAGGGCAGGGGCGGGGAGCGGGCGGGAGCCAGGAACGACCCCAGACAGGCCGCCCTTTTCCGTGAATAACCCCTCTGCTGTTCTGCCCCTTCCTTCGGAATTCGGCCCATGGGCCCAGTTGGACGGCAGAACCTCAACCACCTGAGAGTGGGCCGGCCCCCGCCTTCAGGATGCTCCTGGTTTCATTAGGGAGACAAGTCGCTAGGAGCGATTAGCGGCATAAGAAGCAGTAATATGTGTGGCTACTGAAGGCCAAAGGCAGTCTCTGCAGGAGACCTGGTGGCTTCAGAGATGAGGGCACCTAGAGGGCATGGACCCTCTTGTTTTATAGATTAAGGGGAAGGTCCTGGAAAGGGAAAGCACTTGACTGAGGCCACACAGGAGCCAGGAGCAGTGGGGAAGCTGACTGCAGGTCCCTGCCTCTGAGTCACCACACCTTCAGCTGCAGAGGCTCTGAGGACTTGGAAGGACAGACAGGAGAGGGGTGAAGGAGGCTAGGGCAGTCGTGTGTTCTCCTGTGGGAGAGGCTGGAGAAGCAAAGGGGAGGAGGGAGGCTGTAGGATGAGGACCGAGACAGCCAGGACCCACCCCAAGCCCAGATGTGGGCCAGCTCTGGCGTGCATGGCAGGGAAGGGTTACCTGGTCTCTGCTGAAACTCAGCCACGGGGACATGGGCTCCTCCCTCACTCCCAGAGATAAGGCAGCCCAGGTGTCTCTCTACGGGAATAGGACTTTGGCCCTGCTACCAGGGCCAATAGCCGAGACCCTCCCCCAACCCGCCCCAGGAATTGAGTAGAGCCAAAATGACTTCCCAAGAATATTTCACTACTGTCAATCAAAGCTGAGCATTGCCTTGGTATCAAGTTGACCTGGGTTCAAATCCTTGCTCAGCCCACAACTAACTGTGACCTGCACCAGCAAAGCCTAAGTTGATCCATCTATTGAGTGAGAATTATGACATGTATGTTGCAGAGTGCTGTGAGATCAGAGGTGACTAATTCTCACTCTGCTAGCTGATCAGGATGCCTCTTAGATAAGATAGCCTTTGAACAGAGAAGGAATAAGCCATGCAAATAGCCATGTGCATTCCTCCAGGCAAAGGGAATGGCAGGTGCAAAGGCCCTGAGGTAGGAGCAAACCTGGCAGGTTGGCAGAAGAGCAGGAGGGCCAGGGTGGCTGGAGCAGCCTGAACACGGGGAACAGACAAGGTCACGAGTGAGAGGGGTCACAGGGTCAGATCACAGAGGGGCTTGTGGGCCATGGGAAAGACTTTGGCTTCTTTTGTGCGTGAAAGAAAGAAAGAAAGTGAAGTCGTGTCCAACTCTTTGCAGCCCCGTGGACTGTAGCCCACCAGGCTCCTCCATCCATGGGTTTCTCCAGGCAAGAATACTGGAGTGGGTTGCCATTTCCTTCTCCAGGGGATCTTCCCGACCCAGGGATCGAACCCAGGTTTCCCACATTGCAGGCAGATGCTTTAACCTCTGAGCCACGAGGGATTGGGGCAATTACAGGGTTCTGAGCACAGGAATATCATGATCAAACATAGCATAGCACGATTATGCTGGTTGCTATGTTGCTGTTGCTGCTGCTGCAGCTAAGTCGCATCAGTCGTGTCCGACTCTGTGCGACCCCATAGACAGCAGCCTTCCAGGCTCCGCCATCCCTGGGATTCTCCAGGCAAGAACACTGGAGTGGGTTGCCATTGCCTTCTCCGTTGCTATCTTGAGTAAAGGACTAAAAGAAACCAGGGCAAGAGGCTATTAGCATAAGTCAGGTAAGAGATGATGACGGCCCAGGTCCAGGTGGTAGCCATGCAAATGATGAGGAATCAGGTTTTGGCTATACTGAATTTTTAAGACTAGAGGCAAATGGATCTGGTAATTGAAAAATACATATTAAGAATAACTCTACTGGGACTTCTTTGGCAGTCCAGGGGTTAAGACTCCACACTTCCACTGCAGGGGGCACAGGTTTGATTTGTGGTTGGAAAATAAAGATCCCAACTTTGTGGTACAGCCAAATAATAATAATAATTGTGTGTGTGTGTGTATATATATATATATAAAAAATATATTTAATTTTAAAAAAAGAGTAACTCTTTTTTTAAATGTTAAACATTTACTACATTTGACATTTTTTAAATGTCAAACATTTACTGGGCCCTTAGGCCCTCTAGGTACAGTTGCACAGGTTGTAGACTGCACAACTCCCATGTGAATAGGACCCTTTCAGATTATATACTAATAGGCAGCCCTTTGAGAGTTAAATCTGTGCCAGGCCCTGTGAAAAGCATTAGGATACCACATATGGGTCCCAGAGGGCTCCTATGCCCTTAGCATTGTGCCTTTCTGTACTACACAGTCTCACCTGGCAGAACTGTGAGCCAAACCTGCCAGGGCTGTATGTCCTTCCAGGGACCAGGGATGGGGAAGCCACACTGTTGGGCAACACGACCTGGGGCGGGATCCCTGCCGCTGGTTTCCTCATCCCACCCTCTGGCTCTCACCCACCTATAGAAGCCATTGTGGAGTCTGCCTTGTACAAGTGTGTCCTGAAGCCCTTGAAGGAAGCCATCTACTCATGCCTGCGTGAGATCCACAGCAAGGACGGCTCGCTGCAGCAGCTCAAGGATAACCAGCTGGTTATCCTGGCCACCACTACCACCGACCTGGGCGTGACCACCAGTGTGCCAGAGGTGCCCGTCATGGAGAAGATCCTGCAGAAGTTCTCCAGCATGCACAAGGCCTACTCGCCCGAGAAGAAGATCTCCATCCTGCTCAAGACCTGTAAGCTCATCTACGACTCCATGGCCCTCGGCAACCCAGGTAGGTGGGCAGCCGGGAGGGGCCCCGGGCTGCGTGTTCTCTCTGGGTCCCTGGACCAGGGATATGTGAGGCTATGACCCCTTCCCCTCAAGAACTCCAGAGCCATTGAGAACCACGGGAGAAGATTCAGAAATCTGTTAGGGTGGGAGTAGGCATGGCAGGGGTAGAACTTCTGGGCACCTCTCGTGCTCCCTGGGGGCTGGGAGGAGGCCCATGATTGGCAGCCTCACTGGAAGCAGGCAAGGAAGCCAGCCCACACTGTGCCTCCGTATGGATTAGGGAAAGGCACTACCTTTGTTTCCTAGGGCTGCCGTGACAGAGTTCCACACACTAGTGACTTAAACAACAGGAGTGTGTTGGCCCACAGTTTTGGCGACTGGCATTTTGAGATCAAGGTATCAGCAGGGCCCTACTCCCTCTAAAGGCTGTAGGGAAGGACATGTTCCAAGCCTCTCCTCTAGCTTCTGGGAGTTCTTGGCTTGTGGCAGCATCAGTCCAGCCTTTGCATGGTGTGCTGTCTGTGCGTCTGTCTGTGTCCAAATTTCCCTTTTTATAAAGATGTCAGTCATGCTGGATTAGGGGCCCACCCTCCTCCAGGATGACCTCATCTTAACTAATTAGATCTGCAAAGACCTAATGTCCAAATAAGGTCCCCTGCACTGAGGCCTAGGTCTGCAACATACGGATTTTGAAAGAACACAGTTCAGCCCTTAATGGCCACAGAAATCAGTTACAAAAGTCAGTTGGGCATTTACGCTGATCTGGTCAGGCGCACCTGAGATTGGTTGGGCTGGCTTGAGGGTCCGTGTGGGGGGTCACTTAGAGGCTGGGTAGACTAAGATGGTCCTGCTTATAGGTTGGGTGGTTGATTGGTTGTTGACTGGTCTGGAAAGGGGGTGACTGGGCCACATGTTTCTAATTCTGCAGCAGGTTAGCCCAAGCTTGTGCCCACGGTGGTAGCTGGGATCCAAGTGGGCAAGTGCAGCCTGCAAAGTCTCTCGGCCTGGACTTGAACTAGCACAGTGCCACGCTGAACCATTTCACTGACTCACTGAGTCACAAGACTAGCCCAGATTTAAAGGGTGAGGAACAAGACTTCGCTTCATGCTGAGAAGACCTGCAAGGGAACAAAGCAAGGGGTCCAGATGTAGAGAAGGAAATCACTGGGATCACTTTTAATCAGTTTACCACAGTGCTGCTCCAGGCAGACAAGGATAGGCATCACTGCACCGTGGTGCATACCTTAGTGAACAGAATGTTGGCTGCATTTCATCCCCTGATTACCCCTTCAGCTGGATGTCCTTGTACAGTAAGCAACCTGTGTAACTGTACATGACAGTCATGGAAAAGGAGAATGGAAGGATTGTTACCTCTATAGCCATACAGATGGGTTCAAATTCCTGATCTGTCACTTACTACCCATGTGACCTTGAATGATTTATTTAACTCCTTTATAGAACCCAGTTCCCTCATCTCTGGAAGCTGTTTTACAAAGAGGTGAAACTCAGACCCCTAACATTTCAGAAACCACACTTGGTCACTTATAAATATTAGAAATAGCATGTGTAAAATGTCAGCCTGCCACACATGATGCCTAGCGGTCTTGCTCAATGATGGCTGTTTGCAGGGAGGGGTTATGCATCTGTCTTGGAGAACGGCAGGCCAGTTTGGCCACAGACCAAACGAAAGTGTGTGTGTGATTGGGGTATGGTGCAAGGTTATGTCAGTGCTCTGAGCCTCAGTTTCCCCCATGTTAAATGGGCCCAACTACACCCGCCTTATGGGACTGTTGTGGGAGTTAGATGAGCCTGCAGTTTGCATGCAGCCCAGTGGCTGGCACTTGCCAAGGACAATTCCCTATCTCCCCCCCTGCACTCCCCCACCACCCGCCCCATCTGAGCTTCTCATTTGGGCAGCCATTCTCCCTGCTGTGCGGGGGCTTGGGGCAAAGTCGGGGCAAAGTCAGGGCAAAGGGCTCTAGAGACCCTGGGATGTTATCAAGGAGGCAGCTTTGGGCCTGTAAAGGGCAGCTGCATCCTCAGCGAGTCCCCCGTTGACTCAGAAACCTTTAGCTTGAGCACCCAGTGTCTTGGCAGTGACTTCAAACACCATGAGTTTTTGCTGAGAGTGAATTTACTTACTGCAAACTTAGCAGCGAGCAGGGAAAGGGGGAGGGAAAAGCTAAGTGTGAGGAAGAAGGTCCTTGTCCTCAGCCCTTGCTGGCGGGGGTGGGGCTGGGGGTGCAGGGAGACAGGAATATCCCTGCTGATTGAGAAGCCAGCTCCAGGCAGAAATTCAGGGCGGGGTCATGGCTCCGTGTGAAGCTTCCCCACCAGAAACAGCTCCACCAGGAGCAGATGGCTTTCTGTTCCGGTAGCCATTGCTGCCTGAGCACTGGCCACTGAACCAGTGGACTTCCCGTCTCCCCTGTGCCCGGAGCAGGCCTGGGCTGCCCCACTCGGGGCCTCAGCCTCTTCACCTGGGAGGATGCAGGTGAAGAGAAGAGCAGGGATGTGGGGGTTCATTCAAGGACACGCATTGGAACCAGCTTCGGTGCTAGAGCCTTGGACTTGAATCTCATGGGGCGTCTGCTTGTGTATAAAATGTAGGTGATACGACCAGCCTCTCGGGTTGCCATGCAGGGCATTGGGAGAGGACCTGGAAAACAAATACCTGGATGGCTCAGGCCCCAAGGAGGTACTAATCTTCCAGAGCCTCCATTTTCTCACTTACAAGGGGGCTGGGAACACCTCTCTTGGGACTGTTGTGAGGCTCAGATGCGACCCGATGTGTGCGTGAGCGTCCAGTGGATGAGAGGTTGCAGAAATGACTACCTTCTCACCATGTTCCCCCAAAACATGGAGGCTGAACCCACTCAGTGGTTTCCAAACTGGGTTCCAGGAGGCACCGCAGGGCCCACCAAAGGGAAATGAGGCTGGGCTTGCCCCGGGCAGCCCTGCTGGTCCCTGTTTTATACACAGGGTTCCATCTGGGATTCTGTCTGAAATAGCCCGTTCTGCTGCTAAACTTTTTAGTTTTTTTTTTTTTTTTAAATCTTCCATTTGGAAATAATTCCAGACTTCAAAAACTTCAAGAGCAGGAATAGGACATTAAAATAGAAAACATCTACATGCCCTTTGTGGACTGCTAATATCTTAAACATTATTTGCTTTCTCATTTTTACCCTCTGTGCATATGTAATTTTTTCCTGAATCATATGAGGGCAGGTTTACATACAGCTTGGCCCTTTACCCCAAGTACTTCTAAAAGTAGGGGTATTCCCTCACATAACCACATTAAACTCGTCCGCTTCGTAATTTTACATCAATACGGTGTTTTTCTCCACAGCACCTTCTGTACTCCAAGCAGTCAGTGATCTGACAGGGCTTTCTTTAGCACTTCCTCCTCCAGTTCAGGATCCAGTGGGAGGGCAAGGATCACATTTCACTGTCTCCTTTTATCTGGAACTTCACAGCCTTTCTTTGTCTTATATGACATTGACATTTTTAAGGAGTACAGCTTTTTCCTCCCCACCCCCCACCTCATTGTTTCTTTGTCATGGAAAGTTCCGCATTTTGTGTTTGTCAGATGTTTCCTCATGATGAGACATTTTCAGCCAGATCTCTTAAATTCTCTTCTGACTTGGACCTTCAATGATCTTAGGACCAGACCCTCTACCTCGGGCCTTCTGCTCAAATCCACCCCAGCTCCCCACCCCCTACCCCAGCCTGACTCCCCTCATCCCCATCCCCATTCAACCCGGAGGCTTCCAGCACCTTGCTACTCAGAGTGTGGTCCACAGACCCACAGCGCCCCATGGAAGCCCTGGGAGGCATCAGCGACCCCGTGGAGGGCACAAATCCAGCTTGAGTGCTGCTGGCCTTCACCACTGACCCGCTCTTAGCAGAAAAAAGCCCTTCTCCCCACCACCCCACACCCCCTACCCCACACCCTGCCCCAGCCCTTGAGTCCAGAGAGGAAGCTCCACCCACCTGTCTTTCCCATTACACAATGCTGGCAGTAGTAACTGGTACCCGCCAGGCATGGCTGCTGGCAACGTGCTAGGACAGGGGGAAAAGATGGAACTTGGAGACGTGAGATCCTGGGATCATGGGCCAGGCCTTCTTTTCCAGAATGTAGTTGCTATTAATGCCTGTGATATGGATGGGCCTGGATTCAAGGCTGGGATTTCCTCACTCCAGAGCCTGTGCCTCCAGCACTGTACCGGGCAGCCATCCTGGGAACAGATCCCAGAACTCATAAATCCCGATCAAGTACTTCTTCCAGTGAAGCTGGTTTAGGGCCCGTGTCAGGCAGAGTGGAGAGTTCATGGAGATAGATGGCTTTGGATCGACCTGGCCCTCCTTTCTGCAGCCAGGAGCAGACTGCATGAGGCCTGGTGAGAGCAGTTAGAAATTCTAGAATCATCCCTCCCATTACTTTGATAAACAAGCAGTTACCACCTCTTTGGTATCTAAGATCAGACATTCAAAACTGACCTTGCTGTTGGGGAGAAATAGCTTCAAGTCCAAGAACTCCTCCACAAGAGGAGGGGGAAGGAAAAGAGGAATACAGTGTATGCAAATATGGGGACTATTTCTAAAAGAATACAAAGAACCTTCTTCTAATATAGATAAAGAGCAGGCAGCATCCCAGAGGGCAGTGAAGGCCAAGCTGCTGCTTTTTCCTCTTCCTACAATAGTCTGTGTAGCTGGTTCAGGGAGACCCCAGGCGTGTGGAACAACAGGCCTGTGACATCTACCGAGGGCAGAAAGGACAGAGAGGAAGGGCAGGCTGTAGGTTTTTAAAAATCTATGTTAAAAAATTCTAAACTGATTTCTGATGACAAACGTCACTAATGTTTATTATAGAAAAAGATGATTAGTATTGTGGTAGATTTCTATCTAGTCTCTTTGAAATAGATATAGACAGGTAGGTAAATAGATAATTAGTTAAGGAAATACTTTCTGCTATAACAAATAAACGCTGCAATCTCTAAC